ATAATATAAGGCCTACTCTGCCTGGGGACTGTCTCTTCAGACTTGGTCTCTTAGGATCATCCACAGGTACCTATACTGTGGATAGGTCTTAGTCATCAGGGCTACTCCACTTCCTTGTTGCCTGCTTAGACTCTTGGCACTCTTAGCTGAGCAGACTTAGTCAGCCTGTGTTGCCCTAACAATACCTCTCCAAGGCAGATGTTGGCATGCCAAATATCCAGATGGGTCAATCCCATTGCAGAGGAAACCCACAGTTGTCATGCCAAATATCCAAGTGGTCCTGTTGCCTGGGGAATCATAGTAGTCACCATGCCAAAGATCTGGGGGGGGTCAAGACTCATTGCCGGGGTGTGTTGTCCATGTAGTGAGGGCCCGTAGTGCTGTGCAATGGTCTCTAAGGCCCAAAAATAACTGTGGGAATACCAGCCTGACACACCCTGCTGGAGGTGGGGGTAGGTTGGCTCTCATTTGCTGCAGTCCTTGCAATCAATTCAGGCTGGACCAGGCTGGGACAGCTTGTTTTCTGCTGTTTAGCAGGGTGTCTTCCTTCAAGTGTCACTTCAGTTTTGCAGGGAGAGATCTCGGTTGATGGGGGTGGCTGGGAAAAGATGCAGTTTTCCTCCAAATGACAAAAAACTCTGGACAGTATGCAGCTGCACTCCTGCTCCATATGCAGGATGATACATTCATGGACAGCCTCTGGCATGATCAGTCGGACTTCAAAAGACTTTCCTGACAGAAACTTTAGCAGGTATAAGGAGGGGTTGCCCTTTCCCTCACAAGGAGTAGAGAAACATAAGTAGTAGAATAATGGTGCAGATAGATCGAAGTGTTCATAATTAGTGCTGTCCTTTCCTTGGAGTATGAAGTCTTCACTCCGGCAAATGAAGCATCTCCTCCATAAAAAGACACTGTATTGCTTTCACCAAAGCCCCCTTGATTTCTTTCCAGGAAGCTTTAGCTGGGACTTCTACCCAGTCATCCAGGTGCTAGTCCTTGTTTTCAGGGGGGTGGATTGGATTTTGAATCAGGGAGACTCACACCAAATTGTTGGGAACCCTTTCATCCATCAGAATGGAAATGCATGGCAAATTTAATGATAATGGTTTCCAGTTGCACTGGTGCATATGATTGATGGGTGTGTCTTGCAAACTTGACAGGATATTGGAGATGAGAGGGCATATAACCACTTGAGGCTGGGGGGGAGAAAATTGGTTGCTCAGGCAAGGAATGGAGTGGGTGCATGGGCGGCTGAGGCTGGGGCTGCGAGGCATCAAAAGACATTGCCTGGACTGCAGATTGAGAACCTGGGAAGCATTTGCCCATGAAACACATCTGACTATGACTACTCACCCCATTTTTTGGCTTCATTGTTCATCTGACAGATCACATTTGGGTTGGGTTGGAGGGACAGTGAAATCAGTGACACATATGTGTGTTGCTCAGTATGGAGAACAGTAGGAGGCTTCATTTCATAATAGATGTAGCATTGTGGACAGATGACCACAGGATTATCTGATCCTTTGTTTCTCAATTTTTGGTACAGTCCTCCAGGGGGGATGAGTCCATTTTGGGAAGGGTTAGAAGGGCAACACGCAGCTCAGTGACACTGCAATGGTGCAGTGGCTTGGTATGTCAGTGTCACTTCAGGGATGTACATATGGCCAGGTGCAAAGGTGTCTACCATGTTGAAAGGGGAGGATGTAGTCAGAAAGGTCAGAGGCAGGAGAAATTAGATACAGGTCTTTCCTTGTAGGGATGCACATTTATTTGGGGCACAAGTACATGTGTCATTTGGGTAGGCAAGGACAGATTGTCGGAAATTATGGTGTGTAGCCAAGGGCAAGGAAGGCCAGAGAAGCAGAAAGACAGGAAGGGCAGTGGAAAGAAGGTGCCCAGGTTGTGGATACGGGCTGCATGATTGTTGTGATAGGAATGGCAGCCAATTAGCATGCCAGAAAAGACAGGGCCATGTAGCACAGCCTGAAAATTCTGAGAAAGAAACCATCAGATCACTGATGCTAGGGGGCAAAAAAAGTTGGGCAACCATCAAAAGTGGGAGCAGGTGGTTGATTTCTGATCTCAATAATTGTGGGAATTGACTGTTGGATTCATGGCATCCTGTGGCCTGTTACACTAACAAGATGTCTGCAAGCACTAATCAGCATCTACCTTTAGGTGAGCCTTATTGACAAGCCACTTCGGAGAAATGATCTGAAAGGTGGGCCTGTGGCAGTCCCTGATGCAGAACTGCTTCCCCATATATGGGAGTACTGGGGTCATGGGATGGGTGACTTGGAAATTGCCATTTCCATCAAGCAGGATGTGGATGTAACTGGTAGGGGATGGGGACTAGGGTATGTATTGTGTTGATGCAAGTTACCAGGTTACTGAGGTTGGACTCATAGGGCTAAGACAGTATTTCGGCGGAGGCAGAAAATGGGCCTCATGAGTGTTTGGCAGCAGCATCACATGATGGACTCAATCGGACCACACATTGAAGAGGTGAGGGACACAATTCACAAGCCTGGTGTGAAGCACACCTGCAACTGGCTCAGGCAGCAGGGAATCTTGGCACCCAGGCAAGTGTGATGGTTGACTGCCTATGGAGTATGAATGCTGATGCTGGCTGTCACAGGGATCTTGTCCACAGTTATAATAGGGAATATCATGCAGAGGAGATTCACTGCTGGCATGGGAAGCATTGGATCAGGAAACAATCCAAGATGGCTGGGGTCTTCAAGCTCGTGACCATTGATCAGAATGATAAATGGCAGTGTTTCAGGTTGTATCTGCACCTCGGGATGGAGCCCTTCTCAGGCTCTATACTTTGGTTGAAAGTTTGGTGGACAAATTCCAACCCCAGGCTCATTTTCAGCTATTACTTGGAGAGGGCTCACTTTCATGGGGGTGAATCATGTGCATCTGTTCTGGGAACATTGAGGAACTCATGCTGGTGTGGGTAGGAATCCCCTTACTGACACAAAGCAACCCAGGCAGTGAAAACAATGGGATTGCAAATGGACATACCTTTCTGTGGCAACAACTCAATCTGACACTCATAGGGAAACTTCAGCATAGATGGAAATGTGGCCACAGCAACATGAAGCCCAAAATCAAATGGAGCCAGCTGTGTCATGAGTTCACTCAAGGGTATGAGAATCTATTTGATGCAGGTGTCCATGTGAAGGTGTATGACCATTGAACAACCCCACCAGAGGTGGGGTGTGTCAGGCCAGTATTCCCACAGTTATTTTTGGGCCTTAGAGACTGTTGCACAGCACTATGCACCCTCACTACACAGACAACACACCCCAGCAATGAGTCTTGACCCTCCCCAGATATTTGGCATGACAACTGTAGGTTTCCTCCACAATGGGGTCAACCCACATGGATATTTGGCATGTCAATGCCTGCCTAGGAGAGGTATCCAGAGACCAGACTAGTATAGAATATGATTTTTAGTAGCTAGTATAAGTAGTTTCCAGAAACTCCTGTATCTAGCTTATTCTGCCCCTTTTCTGTTAGCATTATATGGATCTGATTATCCCCATACTGGATAGGCAGATTTGACTTGACTCAGCAGATTTGACTTGACTTATTGTGACTTGACTAGATGGACACCGAGCTCCAATTTACCAACTGATTTCTGACAGCTCAGCTTCAGGCTGACTCTGGCATTCCTACTGACTTTCCCCATCTCTCCCCTCTTTCCCAAGTGAGTTCTTGCACACCACCCATCAGACCAATATTTTGGACACCTTTTGGGTCAGATCACTGTCATGATTTCATTCAAAAGTGAGTACAGCAGAGGGAAATGCATTAGGGGCAGTAGCTGATGATGGGAAGCAATGCATTCCATTGGCTAGCCATTCCATGGATTCAAAGAAAGGTGGACAAATATGTTGAAATGCACAATACCAGCAAGCCACACAAGGACAAAAGAAAACTGCTACCACAGGGGATACCTCAAGATATCTTCTATCACCCTGAGTGGTATGACAATGCATACTCTTTCAAAGTGGGTCCCTTGATCAAAAGCAATGATGAATGTTGATGGAATATAAGGTAGTGGTCACTCCTGAAGACTTATCATTGGCCGAAACAAAATATGCACCAGCAAGTCATCCAGTATTTGAGCTTGTGCCGGAGCATTTTCATGTGGAGATGGACAGGCTGTACCAAGGTAAGTAAGCATATATTGGTGAAGAAAAGTGTGCCTGAAAACACAGTCAGCTTTGGGTGCACCTGAAGTGACCATGGGAAACTTTTGGACAATATATCAAGAACTGCTGGAAGGATGTGTACAGAGTGCAACACTCTCATTGCCTTTGCTTTCTGCTAGGGCAGAAGAGGAACTGCAAATGTCAAACAAGTACATGGATTTGTGCCCACATGAAGTGGATGACAAAACAGACGAGGATGATTCTGCATGTGTTCTGGGAGGTGGATACTATGACACCCTCCAAGGAATTGAGGAGCCTGGAAATACAGTCATGTGGGATCTGGAGGACCTCCTACAGGTGGACTTGACCAAACCTAATCATTGATATTGTACGGAA